ATACAGTGCTTAATTAATTAATAAGAACAAAAAAAAAAATTCTAATTAATCCTCAATCAAAATGTCAGAAGTAATTTGACAGAAAAAAAATTTTTTTCTTTTCAATTAGAAATACATAGAAAAAAGTAAAAAAAAAATTGTTGCTTGAAATTTAGGCGTCACATATTTAATTTCAAATTTATTATAAACTTTTTCCATTTCTTCCTTCATTTTCTCTTTCTGAAAGCCATGTAAAATTTTTTTCTAACAAGTCATTTTTTCAAATTATAAAAAGAAAAAAATAATAGAAGTATCAAACAGAAAAAGTTAATTTTATTATTATTACTATTATAACTTTTACTTTATGTAATTAATAAGGTTATTATAATTTTATTTTATGTGCTTCTATGTCAATTCTTTTATTTGTTATAAGAAAAAATGACAACTATAAGACAAAAATTTTTGTTTGTTCTTTGCTATTTTTCATTTATTTGTTCGTCGTCGGTCATTAGAGGACAATTACCGGTGGGTAAGACGAGGGTGTAAAAGGTTAAAATGGATGATCCTAATAGAGTTTATTTGTTCCAACACTCTGTTTTGACAAAACGACTATCAAACTGTACAGCTCAAAAGAAATCTGCACCGTTCAAACTAATTAACGGTTTTTTTTTCTTTTTGCGGCTAGTTAGTCTGATCTTAAAAGGTTGAAACAGCGTCTGTCGCACCGTTATCTTTGTTTACTGTGAGACTGTATTTGTAGACTTTTAAAAACGAAGCAAATTTAAAATGTTGCTCTTTTGTCGTTTTGAAGCTTAACTTATTGCTGTCTTTGTGATTATTAAAAAAAAACTTTTTTTGTTGTTACATTTTTTTTCAACCTCAGTTTTTCTGAATACAGTTTTCGAATACTCTATTTTTCTTTTCTGGTTTTCGCTTATCAACAAATATTTGAGTGTCACCGGTTAGGCTGCAAATAGGACAATGAAAAAAAACAGTCATTTTTTTAACCACTGTTGCAACCAATATCTTCATTGAACATTTGTCACATTTAATCGTCAGGAACGAAAGAAAAAAAAAAAGAGAAACGAAAGAAAAAGTTCCAGTTGATTACTTTTGACGCATATTATTTTCTTAATTATAACAAAAAACAAAACCAAAAAAAAAAAAAAAAGTTGAGGAAAATGAAAAAGAAGAAAGCAGCAGGAAAAAAAACTTTCTTATTTGTAAGCGGTAGGAATTCTGAATAGCAACGAAACAAAAAATATCCCATTCCACGAGTAATTGTGAAAAATTCAATGGAGTGCTGTGGAAATACTGCAATCCCAAATGTTTTCCTTCCGGTAACAACGCTATTTTAAATACATCAGTTTCTCAAGATGTATTTTTGAAATTGCATTCAATGATCAGTTTATTGACAATCTATTGGAGAATTTCTCATTGTATCATTGAGAAAAAAAATTTTTTTTTTGAAACTTTTGCAGTTATTTTTTTTTAATCTTAAAAATTCGCAGATGGTTTTTTATAACAAATTAGCGACATTTTCAAATGACGAAAGGGAATAAACAGTTTGCTAAACAGTCTTCTCTTTGCCAAAAGTAGTCTATGTCTTGAATGAACATCCAAAGGTTCCCAAATAAAAACCGTTTTGGCAAAATCATAAAGAGAATCTTCAGTTTTTTTTTGCTTTGCTAAAGTGATATAACCGTTAACCTAAACAGCACTTTAATAACAGCTAAAAATTGGCAAAACAAAAGAATTTTGTAGTTGTCTGTATCTGTTTGCAACACTGTTAGACAATCAAATGGTTTGTTCTTTGGAACGTCGGTCAATAAATTCTACTTTTTTTTTTTTTTTTTTTTT